AAGGCTCTGTGCGGATGTTAATTTCCGAACAAGGCATAAGAGAATGTATGCTGTTTGCTTCTTCATGCTTACACAATATACAGGGTGTATATAACTTATCTTTATAACTTTACACGCAAATGAAATCTTTACGAAAATACATAGATGCACTGTTTAACCGTCATCTGCGAGAGAAACTTTCAAAGTTTTACCGAGTTCTCGGCCGATTGTAGCATTCATTATTTTTTACTGTACTGCATCAGTATTTGTGAATTTGGGTAGTCACCATGAACGCAAAGAAGAAGGCACGGTATAAGGAGTAGTTTATCGGAAATAAATTGGATACAAACGTCCAAAGACGTTTCAGAATAACGTATCACAAGACGTCACCATCAAGACCATCGACACGTGACGGTACAAACAATTCAAGGAGACCGGAAGTGTTTGCTCAAGAAAGGCACAGAGAGTCCACGTGTGTCTGATGAAAATTACGTAGAAATGCTGGAAAACTTTATCTATCCGTAGGTACAAGAATTACAACCTGCTGTGTTCTTCCAACGAGACGGAACACCACCACATTGGACCTTGATTGTGCATGTCTCTCTTGATCAACATTTCCCACACCGATGGACTAGCCGTACTGGTTCCATCTCTTGGCCGGACAGATCACCGGACATCATTCCCTGTGATTTTTTTCTAAGGGAATACGTGAAAGACTGTGTATCGTACTCGGGTGGTCGAAGTCAACGACTTGAAGGATAGATTTGCAGTTGGTATTGCAACAGTTTACGTTCACAAGCTGCGGCGTACATGAATGAAGCTTGAATGTCGTTTGGACATGGTACGTGTGACATGATGCTAATGTTGTGTGTGGAAGAACTACTTTTTAAAATGTTTTTTTGTTCTTTTCCAAGCATTATTGGAATAATAAACTAGCCTACGTAATTGGGCCTGTATTCGAAATGAAACAAACGTGATTCGACCACTTGAAGCCCTAGGCATAGGAAGTACAATAGTATTAAAACAGATCTTAAATTGAGCGAGATTTTGTGGGCTGAATTTGTCTTGCTTGGGACGAAAGGTGGGTTCTTGTCAACTCGGTAATGAATATTCTGGGTCTGTAGAAGGCGGATCATTTCTTGATCAGTTGAACGACTGGTAACTTCTGAAGGAATAGTGCTGTATGGAGTTACTGAAGTTCGTCGATGTGGGACGAGATAAGTTAATTAGTATAGTTAGGGGCTGTAGGATGGACTACGGCAATTCAATTCTCGACACGGATGAAAGTTTTGGTTTGCCAGTGCTTTTAGACTGACTGATGCAACCCGCCTCCACCCCTAGCTTCCTGTTTCCCTGATATTAAACAGGCCGGAGCGTGATGCTATCAGTTCACTCGCAACTAACATCGAGATTTACGTTCACACCTCCCGGTACACACCTCCTCTGTGTGGTTCTTGGTTACAGGGACATATTTGGCTTTAACACGTTATCAGTGTTTCAGCACGAAACGTCTGATGATCATTGAAGACACATCACTCGTTCAGTTAACATTTACTTTATAGGACCCTACATTTTCGCGTTTAGGCATGGCTGTCTACTGATATAATGTAGCTACGAAGAAAAAAAATGTGTCATCCGACGTTCTTGTGGTCAGAGAGTCCGAAAACTATGGAAATTTACTGTAAGTGAAATAAAATGAAATGACTGGAGATGTGTATGAGTGTTCATGATGCGGCTGTTAACATGTCATGAGGTTAAATGGCAATTCATATTTAACTAAATAATTAGTAATGTTAAAGGACATGAGATTTGGTACGTGGAATATTAGGAGAGTATACATGATAGGTTCAATCCAGAACGTAGCTGGGCAGAAATACGTATAAGCTACATTTGGTGAGAGTGTAAGAAGTTAGGTGGGATGGGATATCAAACAGCAGAAAATTATACATTTTGCTATGGAAAAGAGAACGTTAATCACCACTTAGAAACAGAATTTTTCGTACATAATAGGATTATTTTCAGCAGTTAAAAGAGTAGAGTTTATTAGTGGCAGGATGTCGTATGTAACTCTAAGAATAGTTGGTGTGATGTCGTTTTACTAATGTGCATGCCCTGATTATAACAATCATGTCACAAAGAATAACCTTTACGAAGAAATAGAACACGTATTTGACCAGTTCCCAAGGTACCGTACGAAAATTTTGCTAGGAGATTAGTTAGTTAGGTGGGGAGGACATTTTTTAACCGGTTATTGTTAGGGATAGTCTACATGAGATTAATAACGATAATTTGGTCAGAGTAGTAAATTTTGCAACTTCAGAAAATCTAATTGTCAAAAGCACAACATTCTCTCACCATAGCATTCATAAATATACCTGGACTTCTCCTGGTGGTGACAAAAGACGACACGCCAGTACGTTGGATGTCATGTCAGATCTTTCAGAGAAGCTGACTGTAATACCGATCAATAACTGGCAGTGTCAAAATTAAGGAGCAGACATTCAGTAAGTAAACAACAAGCAAAATTTTGATCTAGAAAGATTTGATTTGAAGAAACTCAATGACGAAGAAGTTAAAGGAAAGTACCAGATAGAAATCTCCAATAGATTTGCGGCTTTAGATAACTTTGATGACGTTTTTGATATTAATAGCGCACGGGATAATGTTTGGGATAATATCAAGATCTCAGCCTAGGAAAATGTAGGATATCATTAACTAAAACATAGTAAACCTTGGTTTGTTGCTGAGTGATCATAATTAATAAACAAGCGGAAATAATGATTACAAAACCCAAGCCAGATCAATGGAGATAATCTGAAAAATTTAAGACTTGAAACCAGTAGAACATTTAGGCAGAAGAAAATACAATACCTGATAAAAATTAATGAACTTGAAACTAATTATTTATCTGAACATAATTAAACAGTTGCCCCTTGTAATAGAGATACGTTTTATTTTAATCAGGAACTTACTTTTTTAAATATTAATTACTTGAATTTTATACTTCAAAGGTTTGATGTAACTATATACGCGTTATTGAAGGGTTTTGTGTTTTTGAATAGACGTATGCCAGCTAATACCGCGAAGACAAAAAGTGAAAACTCTATAACTACCTGCGTCAACACGATTTAATTATATTTGGACATAAAGAAATTTTCGCTATTTGAACAAGAAGTTACAAAACAAGATTATTTATATGCTGAAAGTGTCGCGACATGCTTTAACTTATCTTATCATCACAGTGTTCAACTTTCAAAATATTTTATGGGTCTGTTCAAAGGTTAAAAATATTCACTCTACAGAAGCACGGATTCATATTTAGTTTGTAGTTGCATTGCATCAGATTCACATGTAAGTTGAGTATTTCTTGCGTGTACATACATTTTACATTAAAATTAGGGCATATTCCAGGCAAAGGATATTTAAAAATATTTTGCTTTGGAAATAATTGTCAAGAAATTAGGTTAGTGTTGTGTTTATACTTAACAGACTTGTATTATTTCTATAAAGTAAAAATACAGTAGGTGGGTGTTCCGCCAGTATATCCGTCTGTCTGTCTATCCGCCTTTGTAACTACTAAACGAGTTAACAAATACTCTCGGGGCTATAAGTCGTGTTAGTTGGTTAGATATTACCGACGTTTTAGTGACCATCTCTGCCCCCATAATCAGTCAGCTTGTTGGTGTTAGTCGCCGTGAAATCTTCATTAAAGAATAAACGGCTATTTTTGTAAATTTGATTTTTAACCTACATTATAATTTGTAGTGAGGATTTTTAATGATATTTTCGAAAAATAAATCCCCCTTCATATGGAGTTCAAATCGAAGTGTAGTAGTTTTATCATAAAAGTAGGCCATTATTTAAAAGATTATTAGGAAGTAAAAAATTAACACTCCATTCAGACCTTAATAATGTTATTTGTAACATTTTTCGATATAGTAAACATTTAACTGAACACAATACATCACGCTGAGTTGTGAAGGTCTCGCGGTAAAATTTATGAAGTTTGCTGTCTTCTGGAATGGAACATCAGGTGTTCTGGTAGTTATTAACCGACCTTTTACAGGAGCTTACTTTTTTCCGATTCATTATTATGATGATGGAAGCAGAAAGCTCATCTGACACGTATTTACATGTTGCCACAGTGCTAAATTCCAGACCGTAGCCATCTGCAATTCACAAGTTTTGTACGGCTTACATTATACATTTCAGCGTCTGTTTCTGCTTAAGAGTGCAGCATACGATGAACATGAGCATGAGTGGGACATTTTATACATTTATGCTTTTCCCAAATTAAAAATTATGTTCTTACAAATGTACTCTTTTATGATGTAATGATAATTAAATACTTAAATACAATTTGCCAGTGCTTTACGGCAGTGGTATTCAAACTTTTTTTGTTCGCGTACCCCCAGATATAATTTCTCTTCAACTTTATACCCCAAAGTTGTTGGTGTATAATTCAAGTTATACATAGTATATAATCTACATGTAAAATAAATTAAATAAATTACATTACTGATTATTCAGTGTTTATCATAAAATAATGTATATATTTTTTTAAATTTCACGTACCCCTTATGATGTCTTCGCGTACCCCCGGGGGTACGCGTACCCCAGGTTGAATACCACTAGTCTATGTCAGTGGTATTCAACCTTTTTTGTTCGCGTACCCCAGATATAATTTATCTTCAACTTTGTACCCCCAAAGATGTTGGTGTATAATTCAAGTTATACATAGTATATAATCTACATCTAAAATAAATTAAATAAATTACATTACTGATTATTCAGTGTTTATCATAAAATAATATATATATTTTTTAAATGTCACGTACCCCCTAAGATGTCTTCGCGTACCCCCTGGGGTACGCGTACCCCAGGTTGACACCACTGCTTTACGGCTTACGAAAACTTATAAATTTTTCAGTGCTGCCAACAACACTTTCATGGTATTTTAAAATTGGCGTATTTTTTGATTTTATCCGATTTAATAATACAATTCTTTTTGTTTGTTACAGAATTTTGGCTACAAACATAAAAAATGAAGATCTTCCTTTGTGTGGTGATATATTCCTTATTTATCTCGCAGCCAAGAGTCCAGGTTTGTGCCAACTCTGTTATATGTAGCATTTAATATGTAAATATATTCAGTGATATTAAGCGAACGCAGTGAACAGGTTAAATGAAAGAGTCACAAAGTGACCCGATATGAATGAAACAGATCATTTCGCTAATCTCCAACTTGGTTGAGTCGGATACTTAATTTGATGCTTAATATTGGCAGTCTATGTCCTTTTGCTTTGTGTCAGTTCGCACTGTCATATAAATCAATAGACGCCTTTGTCGTATAAAAGTGTGATTTATCTTTCCTTTCATAAGTTCTAGAGACGCCTTTGTGTTATAAAAGTATGATTTATCTTTCCTTTCATAAGTTCTAGTACTGGAGAAACATATTTTTGTAAATTATACCATTCGTATTTATTGATATTACATTTAAAATTAACGTTATACAATAGGCATTTATTCTAAACAGCCGAGCTATTTATAATTATTTATTTATTTATTACTATATTTACGCGTGCATAAACATAGGAATAGAAAAATTACAATATTTGAATAAAGTGACAATCGGTTTTGTCGTTTGTGTTGCCTTGTTAGATTTTATAGGCAAGCGCGCATTTATTGCTTATATTTTGAAATAAACTTAATGGAATAACGATATTACTCATTACTACAGTCTTATGAATGTAGCTATATTTACGCTGACCAACAATATTCACCAAAAGTGCATAAATTGCATTGAAATTATATTTATTTTGACAGTAAAATTAACAAATTTCCATTGATCAATGTACTGTTGTATACCGTCGTTGTGCCACATAATTGCTGGACTTGTCCAATGCGTAAAATTGAATTCAGGGCAGTTAAAAGAACTATGCAAATAAAAATTATGTCTGTATTCATTAAAATGAGTCTAATAAATCTCGATTCGATAAATGTTCACATTTTGAAGCTTCTTGAATAGAACTCTGAGCTCTTGTACGAGGTGCGATCGGAAAGTTTCAAGACTGCGCGTATAAAAACCCGTACACTTATCTGAGGTATTAAATTTATCCATCACCCTCGAAGTAGTTCCCCTGGGAGTAAACACAACGATCCCAGCGCCGCTGCCAAGCCTGGAAGCATCCCTGGAAATCTTTCTTTGTCAGCCTGTCAAGCACCATCTGCGATTCTGCCTGAATCTCTTCTATCGTCTCAAATCTCCTTCCCTTTAGCTGAATTGTCATCTGTGGGAAGAGGAAGAAGTCACACGG